TTGTTCGTATTCGGCTCGTTAACTTAGCAAACGAGCCAAACACGAGTTGTTCATGAACAACGAGCCGTTTTGACAGCCCTAGACGTGATGCATTGTGACGGTGCGTTGCAGCAAGACATCGCGGCGATGTGACACGTTGCATCGATGCATTGTAGCAAAACTTTGCGGCTATGCGTTGGGGCGGAGCATCGCGACGGGTTGGAGCATTGCGATGGGGCGTCGCGGTGATGCGACGAATTGCGGCGATGCATTGCGGCAGTGCGTCACGTTGATGCATCATGGCGACGCGTTGGGGCGGAGCATCACCGCAGGGTGTCGCGATGACACAATGAATTGCAGTGATGCGTTGCGACAGTGCGTCCTGGTGGTGCATTGTTGCGGAGCATCGCTACAACACAACACATTGCATTGTTGCATAGAGTTGCGACGAAGAACTGTGGCCCTGAGTTGAGGTGAAAAATTACCGCGCATTGTTGAGGTGAAGAATTGCGTCGTAGAGTTGTGATGCAGAATTGCGGCGCAGAGTTGTGGTTAGGAGTTGCAGGAAAGACCTGTGACGAAGAGGAAAGTCGTTTATGCTTTGTGTAGCAGACAAACAATATGATCTTCTTTTTTGTTGCGGTGAAGAGGAAAATCGTCCCCGCCCTGCGTAGCAGACGAGCAACGAGTTCTTCTTTCTTATTGTGGCGAAGAGGAAAATTGTCCCCGTCCTGTGTAGCAGGCGAACAACGAGATTTTTTTTTCGCGTTACGGTGAAAAGGAAAGTCATCCCCATCTTGCTTAGCAAGCGAGCAACAAGATTTTTTTTTGTTGGTTTCGTGCATTCTGAAGAAGATTCATGTGTCGCTCTTGCACTTTTCTTTTAGAAATGTTGTAGTTCTCCTGTCGCGCTTTGAGGGGAAGATTTTTATGCTCATGTGGTGGTGATATCTGAAGACCCCTTGACGATCATCATAAGTACTTGGGTTTTGGGGAGGCAATGCCAACTCTACTCGAAGATGAGCAGACTTATTGTAGCTCTTGTATAAGTATATGTTGATATTTGTAGCATTTTTTATCATCTGATGTGGTATTTGTAGATGAAGATAATATATTTCTTTGTTTCTTTCACGGTTGTTGTGGCTTCTTAGTTGTGCAAAATTATGCAATTAAAGTTAGCACATAAATTTTTATAAAATGAAGAATCGTGTACCTTTAGTCGTTCATGCCTAAGATCAATGTCTTATAGAAGCTTGAACCGGTACCTTCTAAGGCTCGAAGCCTTCCGAGGTTTTTCAGTGAAGACCCTCTTGGGTTTATCTTCCAACGGCATGGTAGGTTCTTATCAGGTCTTGCCTTCTGGGCTTGTCTTCTTGGGGCATGGTTGAAAGAAGAATCCATTGAGGATGTAATACCAGTTTTTAGTTGTATGACTGAAGATGCTCAAAGGTATTAACCCGTAACAAAGTCATATGAATCCACCGAGGATGGTTGACCTATCCTAGGTTGTTGGTTGAAGTTTTTGTTTGACGACCGTAACTTGTTATGAAAGAGATCCAAGGAAATCCACCAAAGATTTCTGACCTACTCAAGGTTGTATCTCGAAGCTTTTATTTGTCGACTGTAGCCTGTAATGAAAGAGATCAAATCAAATCCCCCTGGGATCGATTAAACCTAGAATGAGTTATCAAAGATGTTCTGCATTTCTCGAGACTAGGGCGTAGATCACAATGAACTATATATTTTCTTGGAAATATGATTATAGTCGTACTAAAAAAAATGTTTGACAATTCATTAGTTGTTGTTTTTAAATCTTTTTGCCTCCCAGCTTAAGCGTTTTCCATGTGAGCTTGTAAAACAACCCATGTAGTGGGCCTTAAAGAGATCAACTTTTTGATCTAAGTTGAAGAAGAACCCCAGTATAATGAGGTGCCGCTGAGGAAGTGTTATTTGCGGTGAAGATTGCCCCCTAGTACATAAGCGATTCTCGTAGACTTATAATCTGAATGAAATATTGGATGACTTCCCACCACAGTCGGGATGTTAATAAGAACGACATTTCGAGACTGCAGTGAGATTTTCCCCACAACCTGGAAGAAATTGTGAAATACTTTGTCTGAATAAGATGTGGGAAGACAACCCTACTACAATTGTGCCGAAGACGTTGACGTGAACGATCTTTTGAAATTGCGGTGAAGTTTGCCCCCCACATTGAAAAATGCATCGGATATGATCTTCATGATGTGAAAAAGGTTACTTCGTCGATTGGATGAAGTACATCATTGGGAAAGGAAGTAGATGCTCGTTGTCTTAGAGTTGAAGACAATGCTAAACGGGACTTCGATTTCCACAGACGACTCCAAACTGATGCGTGGCAGAAAATTGACAGCTATAGAGTAATGAATTCTCGTCCTAACATTGCACGAGAATTCAACACACAAATAACATAAGAGAAGTATGTAGGAAGAGACCTTGACATTTTAAGTAGAAAACCCTTAAAAGAGTAAAAAACCACAGGGCCTAGCCATGTTGAAATAATTCACTATGAATGATGAGTATACAAGTCCATTATTCTCCTAAATTCGGGAAGATGAAATTACAAAGTTGTATAACTATAATCTGACTGCAGTTCTTGGTGACTGTAGGTTGCAAGGATCATTGTTGATTGTTGTGGAGGTAGTAGTTCGTCGTGAGTGTTATGAATGGTTGCTCAAAATAAATGGTTGCTCAAAAAGCGTTGATTGACCAAAGACTCCATAGTAAGCAGTTACGGGAGCTGTGAACCACATAAACCGTAGTGGTGAGTATGAATAACGTTCGTAGGCCGTCGGGGGCCGGAGTCGGGAGCTGCACGAGCTGTGAACCACGTAGGTTGTAGGGGCGAGTATGAATGATGTCTGTAGGTCATGGGGGCCTGAGTCGGGAGCTGCACGAGCTGTGAACCAGGTAAGCCGTAGGGGCGAGTATGAATGACGTCTATAAAACATGATTCATAGCTCGTGCCGCTCCCGGCTCCGGCCCCCCCAATGAATCACGTAGGTCGTAGAGGTGGGTATGAATGATGTCCGTAGACTGCGGGGGCCGAAGTCGGGAGCTACACGAGCTGTGAATCACGTAGGTCGTTGTGACAAGTATGAATGATGTTCATAGGCTGCGGTGGTCGGAGTCGAGAGCTGCAAGAGCTGTAAACCACGTAGGTCGTTGTTCACACATGGACCGTAGTGATTAGCTCATGTCCCACTACAATGATTGACAGTGTCTGGTTGGTAGTGATCGATGATGATTGATGTTGATCGACGGTGACGGTCGACAATGGCTCCCCACAAATCGACGGGCGTCGACGACTGCCGGCGATGATCGATGAAGATTGATGGTGGTCGACGACGGTCGAGATGGTGCTGGACTTCAGCTCCTTCTCTGAGCTTCCAGTTCTCTTTGAAGCTTCCAGTCTCTCCTTCATGTCAGAGGTGGGGCTTTATTTATTGTGTCATGGGTGTCATTATTGCATGAATATAAATCATTTTGATCGGATGATCCAGAAAGCTTCCTCTGATTAAATGATTTTTAATGGACATTTGAGTGCCTTAAAGGTGTTGCAATTGCACAATCTTGGGCTTATTGGATTTGTCTTGTGGAGATGCTCAATTCGACTATAAACTTACCAGATTCGATAATCGTTTGACCTTCCAAATGTGTCCGAAAATCTTCCAAGAATGGTTTAATGACTTGATCCTGGCTTGATTTGACTCGGATTGGAATGAATTTGATATCATTAGATTCATCTCATCGAGTCAATCAGTTTGCTATAAGTTTGCTGAAATGAGAACTTTGGATGAGTTTTTATCAAGGTTTGAACATTGCTTACTTAAAATTTTATCTCGAGATCTGTGTCATGCTTCGAGATTCGTGTTGGATAATGAAAATTTGTTGGTGGCGTGTCAAAACTAATAAAAGAATAATAAAGAAAGATGGAGAAAGAATGACCTTTTTGCTTAAAAGTTTTTTGGTTGAATTTGTATTTTGATATGCTGAGATTTGAAAAATGGCTTTACCTCAGATTTAGGAAAAAAATATTACTTGAGGACAAGATAGGTGCGGATTTAGTGATAAACACCACAATAACATCACAATACCACCAAATACTACAATCTGTATGTGTGGATTCCACAAGTAATATTCACTCCAGATTTACATGAGATAAAGTATATTTTTTGATGTAATTACTGTTGCTCTTTACTTTATTTTTAATACCATGCCAGGAGTAATGCATGCAGTGGAACTCCCAGTCATTTATTTGTTGATGGGTATGGGGAAAAACATTTCGAATATTTACTGCTTCTAGTAGAAAATTACTGTTTTTACAAACCGTTCATTCTTAGTTTTGCTGTTTCACTCTTATTCCCTTTTTTCTTTCGATTTGATAAACTAGCATGATGTTTGAGATCAGTCTGAGTGAGAATTGTATTAACTTTACATGCCCTTTGAATAATCATGAAGATGAAAACTGATTATTTTGTTAGAAGTGCCAGAATAGTCCCCTGACTATTTACGTGGAGTCATTTTAATCCTAGAGTCCATAAAAGTATGAAATTAGTTCTCAAATCCTTTGAATTAGTCCCCACTGATGACTTCTTGAACTCCATTTAAAAGAATTTGGGACCAAATTTACAATTTTATCGACTATGAGATTAAAATGACCACCGTCAAAGAGTCAAGGGATCATTTTGACACTTTTCTATTCTATTAATCACATGTTTCTACATGATTTATTGTTGGTTGTTATTATTGAGACTTTGAAAATCATGATCTCTCAAATTATTTTACAGGAGAAACTTGGTTTATGCAGCCAATCGAGATGCTGAGAAATCATTCAAGAAGACTCTAGAAGTCGATAGATTAATAGATACACTAAGAGTATCCAATCCTGGTGAAGTAAGTTTAGCGAGATTATGTTTGTTTTTGATCATTATTTTGATAAAAAACAAGGCTAAGGCTTTGGAGTATTCTTTTTTTTTTTACAGCTAGAACAGGTTGTTGTTGAAAATGTGCTGGCATTCAACGAGGGTTTCTGGATCAGGCTTGCGGCTAGAACTGAAACTTGTAAATCAGATGATGATAAAGCATGGCTTTCTTCTTAATTGGTTTTTTATTTTGCATCCATTCCTTCTTGTTTAAATATTTTTTTTCTTGTTCGAGAATGTTGTAATTTTGAGTTTAATATTGTAGCAGAAAGATTATGAGGAGTTAGCTGGATCAGTGATGAGCATAGTTGACCGATTGGTTCATAAAACAAACGTAAGTATACTATAGCGTTACAGTTTGTATCGTTACCATTTGCAGAAGACGCGTTTAAGAAATACTTCTTTCTTGGTCTTAAAATTTCCTGAGAGCCAACCCTACGAATTTATTTATTTATTTCAAGATTTACATACATTCCACTCAATTCCTATATAATTACATATCTAACACCTATACTTCAATTTTTACATACTGCCACCTTACCTATGCTTGAAAAGGTGTAATTCACTTTTTTACGGTTAAAATAGTGGTAATTTTGATGTGATATGAAATATTTAGGTGGTGTAAATATAAAATATAAAATTTAATTGTTAGATGTGCAAATACATAGGAAATTGGGTGGCATGTATGCAAATACCTCTTTTTTATGATGTAGATGGATAAGTTTTGGATACGCTCCGGAACAAATGTCAGCTAGCAACCACTATGAAACGACAATAGATTGATGGAAATAATTCAAATAAGGGCTGCCCTTATGAAATACAAATGAAAGCAAGTTAGATACATGGATAATCTACTAATCGAGAGGTAGATCGGCTCTCGCACAACCCTAGAAGTCGCTAGGAACACCACAAGAAGAAAGAAAACCAGTAGCCAACAAAAACATACATTAAGAAACAAACCTTATGTTACTCTCTTTAATAGAATCCTCTCACAGCATTTCAAAAATTTTCTTTTAAACCTTCCCTCCTAATTCCTTTAATTTCTCCTCTTTGAATAGGTGATTATGGCCCCTCTAGGACCTCTTTGCTCCCTGCCTTTTTCGGTCGCAGCATCCAGCCACTTGCGTTAGGCTCCTTCTAGCGGAAGCAACCCGACTCCATCTCACGGAAATGACTGGCCCACCTGGCCGGTTTGATAGTGCTCGACTGGTCTCTTCTGGAACGGTTCACATATAAGCATAACATGACTCCCATCCCAAAGAAGTACTTTGTTCTCATGGCGGAAGGATGAAAATTGCTTGTGGATCACCCCGTAGAGCTCCACGTTGCTTCGTGTTTTGGCTGCTCTTTCCACTTGACCAAAACTTCCTTTGCTCCTCTTACTCCTCGACGCACTCTTTCGATTTCGAACGATTCCATGATCACCTCCAAATCCTCTGTTAGTGTCGACAGTAGTGTACATGAGGGTTTATGATCTCTAATCACACTTGTAAGTTGTCACACTTGGAAGATCGGGTGTAATGTGGATGATGACTGCAAATTCAAACGGTTGGCGACTGCCCCGATGCGTGCCATCATCTCATAAGGTCGAAAATATTGTGGTAACAACTTCTCTCTTATCCTCTTGGTTCAAATTGGACCTCTCTGTTGTGTTCGTTTGCTTTCCTCTTTATGATTTGTTGAGCTATAAGTGAATGCCCCTTGAGATCTGCTAGTATCACATCCCTCTCCTCCAAGTACTGATCAATGTTGGATACTGGTGTGGTTCTATGCCCATAATGTATTAAGTGAGGTGGATTTCACCCATACATTATCTTGATAGGAGTTGTTTGTGCTGAGGTGTGATACAAAGTATTATGTCAATATTCGGCCCATGCAATCCACTTAGCCCGTAGTTTCGGTGTATCAGATACAAAACATCGTAGGTATGTATCTACAATCATGTTGACCACTTACGTCTATCTATCGGTCTAGGGATGATATCTGGTGTTTCTTTCAAGGACTGTCTCTTGTAACTTGAATAACTATTTCCAGAAGTGACTGAGGAACACCTTATCCCTATCCAATTTAATCAATTCCAGCACCCCGTGCAAACAGACCACTTTTTGAATAAACATCGCTACGACTGAGACCGTAGTGTAGGGATATCGCATGAGAATGAAATGTGTCCACTTAGGCGATCATCGGCCTCCATACTCGCTATGAACCCTTTCTGACCGTGGAAATCTCTCGATAAAATTCGTCGTCACCTCTTTCCAAATTTTCCCTGGCAATGCCAATGACTCTAGCACTGTCGTTGCACGTCCCAAGCTCGGATGCGAGGGTTGCGTTAGGTAGTCGACAACCCGCGTAAAACTTGTCGAAAAAATCATGACATGAATCCTTTTGATCTTTGTGTAAGTGTTAGAACATCCCCTGGAAGCGACGCGCTGTATAGCCTGAATACAATGAAAACTGTGCAAGGGCCGCTACATCGGCGCCCGGGTGTAGTGTTAAATAAGCAAGAGTTCTCACATTACGGACGAATGCGGGTAAAAAAGTTAGTCCATGAAACTAATATTAGGATAGTCACTTGGAATATAGGTACTCTCAATGATAAATTAATGAAATTAGTTGATATTATGATTCATAGGAAAATTAATATCTTATGTATTCAAGAAACTAAGTGAAAATTAATAGAGTTGGTGATAGAATTATAGCCCTTAAGATTATCATTGATACTAAGATTTTTAATATTATAAGTGTTTATGCTCCTCAAGTAGGTTTAGATACAGATTTTAAAGATAAATTTTGGAATGACTTAGAAGACTTAATACAAATGATACCTCTTGAAGAAAAAATTTTTATTGGAGGAGATTTAAATGGACATGTCGGTAGAGTGGTAGAAGACTTCAGAAATACTCATGATGGCTATGGTTTTGGAGTAACTAATGAAGAAGTAGAGTTATTTTAGATTTTGCTTTAGCGTATGATTTTGTTATTACTAATACTTTATTTTAGAAAAAAGATGAGCATCTTATTACTTATAAGTGTGGATCTAATAAAACACAAATCAATTATTTTCTTATGAGAAGAAGAGATCGTCGCGATTGTAAAGATTGTAAGGTAGTTCTAAGTGAAAATTTAAGTATCCAACATCGTTTATTAGTTCTTGATTTTAAGATTAAGTGTCATAAAATAAAAAATGCTAGAACTCAGCATCGTAAAATTAGATGTAGAAACTTAAAAGAGAAATAAAATTATTTTTATGAGTAAAATTCAATATTTCAAAATTTGGAATATTCATGAAGAAGCAAATGTTATGTGAGATAAATTAACAAACACTATTAAACAAATAACAAAAGATGTGCTTGGAGAATCAAAAAAAAAACTTTTTATAAATAAAAATAGTTGGTGGTGGAACAATAATGTGCAAGAAAAGATGAAATATAAGAAGTTATGTTATAAAATTAGTTTAAATGTAAAAGCTTAGAGATCAAAAAAATATCAAATGATCCGCAAAGAGTCTAAAAGAATAATCAGTGACGCTTAAAATTCTGCTTTTAATGATTTTTATAATAGATTAGATACTAAAGAGGGTGAAAAATATATGTATAAATTAGCCAAACAAAGAAAAAATAAAAGTAAAGATTTAACTCTAGTAAAGTGCATTAAAGATGAAAATAAAAAAAATACTTTTTTTAGAAAAAGATATTCAACATAGGTGGGTGAGTTACTTTGATAAACTTTTTAATGAAGTTTCTGAAAATACGATCGACCTTAGTGATCTTGATATCGTGAATAATACGTTTCATTTTTACCGTCGCATTAGTAAAAGAGAAAGAAAACCAAGGGTAGAAAGTCTGTAGAGCCTGATGATATTCCAATTGAAGTGTGGAAATATTTGGGAGATTTGGGAGTTTTTTGGCTTATTAAACTCTTTAATATTGTTTTAAAAACTAAAAAGATGTCTGAGGAGTGGAGGAAGAGTATTTTGGTCCCCATTTTTAAGAATAAAGGGGATGCGCAAGAGTGTGCAAATTATAGAGGAATTAAGTTGATGTGTCATACTTTAAAATTATGGGAGAGGGTAATTGAACATAGGTTAAGATGCATCACGAAAATTTCTCATAATCAATTTGGATTTATGCCGAGCAGGTCTACTATGGAAGCTATACATTTATTGAGAGGTTTGATGGAGAAGTTCAGAGATAATAAGGAGAATCTACATTTGATTTTTATTGATTTAGAAAAAGCTTACGA